GAGAGTGAAAAGTTTGTTTGTATGCGTATTTATAAGAGTTCGCACATGTTTGTGGTAAAATGTAAAATTCTTTTCCATTAAGTGGCTCATGTATTATACTTTTAACTTATTTATTTTTTAATGTGTATTTAGTAGTTGGATGCTACAATATGAAATTTAATCAGATGTTGGTTTTTAGAAATAATATTTATTTATTTATTTATTTTTTTTTGTTTTTGCTTTATACATTGTATTCCTTGCATTACAGCACATCAGCGTAATGATTTTTTTTTTTTGTTTTTTGTTTCAGACAAATTTATTGTATTTTGTCTGCTGATTTTGCTGTCTAAAATAAAATTTTGTAATCCGCTTTGCTTGAATTTTTTTGCTGCCTACAATTTGTGTGGCGTATGAATCAAGCATTTAATTCTTCTGCACAACTACAAAAACGTTAAATTAGCTTCTTCCAACAAAATTTCGGGCTTTGCGTTGTGTTTGACCGCAAAATACGCACATTGCCAGCGTGTAAGCGCTAATAGCAATTTCCTTATTTTTAAAAACATTTCCTCAAGTTAACATGCTTTCTTCTGCGTGTTGCTGATTTAAACTCATTTTGCATGCAACAACTTTTGTTGTCTTCCTTCCAATTGTCTTCAGGCTTAAAAATTATTTTACTTAAACATTTGCATGTTTTTATGTGCTCTTGCTCTTGTATATATTTGGAATTGTTTTCGCATTTTTTCTTTACAAAATTTTACATAAAACATTTTATTGTACATACATACAGATGTTCCGTTGCGTACGCGCATACAAATGCATAAATGAAATCGCAGTCGTTTGAGACCACCTTTGACGTTACACGATTTACAAATACAATGCTTACAGTTTTGAGTTTAAATTTAAATTATAAAATATTTTAGCTTTTGTATTATTGTTTGTTTGTTGTTTTTCAACTATATATTTTACATATTTTGCAAGTTGCGAATTTGCATGTGTTTTATGATTTGATTTTACACTTTTTTTTGTATGTTACATATTTATAAATTATGGGTTTATTTTTAATACATAAATTTCATTAGTTTTATATTTTTAAAATTAGCACATAATATTTTTCGCGTCACTTTTGTGTAAGCATGTCGAAAATAGTGCATGTATTAGTGAAACTTATGCTTATATGTATGCTAAAGTGGTATTTTTTACAAACAAAATTACACAAACATTATTTTTTTTTTTTATAACAAATACTAAAGAACAAAAATTCAATTAAAAATTGTGTTTAAAAAATTAGCAGAATTTTCGAAATTTCCAACTGTCTTTCGCGCTGTGTTTAGCCGCATACTCTTTTTTCGCTTACAATTACTACAAAAGTTTACAATTTTTGCTTTTGAATACTAACAGCAGTAAAATAATTTTACATTACATACAGAAAAATAATTCTACATTACATACATATGTATAAATCCTACTTTGCTTTAGGTTTTAAAAAACAAAAACAGTTGCTTGTTTGCGTCGCGTATTAGTTGTTGCTTCACTCTAAAAACTATTAATATTACTCTTACATTTACAATGCTTACGTATTATGTACTTTATATATTAGATGTATTTATGTATGTATGTATGTATAATAACGCACGAATACAAATTACAATATATGTTTGTGTAATCATTTGCCTTGCAGCAGCGCACAAATGAATTACGTTTTTGCGCACAAAATGGTGGCGTTAATGGTAGCGTTGCGTGTGTGTGCCTGGCGTATCTCTTGGTGAGCGCTTTGCATGTCGAAACTCGTTGCAGTCACGAGCCAAAGTGTAAATATAGTTTGTACAAGTTTGAGTTTTCGTGTCTATTAATACTAAAGCGCGCATTTACAAATTATTTATACTTTTTTTTTTACAAATCATTAAAATTTTTACACAATATTACATTTTTTTTTATAAATACAAATATTACATATTTTACAAATAATTTCAATTCATATGTTAATATGGAAACGAATTTTCAACTTATATGGAGAAATTAGGTTATTTTAACGCCTCGCTTGATGTTGTTATTTACATGCAATGATATATAATAAACTTTTGCGTACACCGCCACAAAAGCGTTGCTAATTTTGTGAGTTTGTTTTGGAAATTAAGCATAGCTGTCAGTTGCAAATTATTTATGTATATATTAAGTGAATGCAGTTTACTTACTTGCACTGGCTTGAAAGAAATGTAATTGTAGCAGATGACATGAAACGTCATATAATTATGTGACATTTCACTTGTAAATATAGATAATCAGCTGCTTTTTCTTGTGTTTGTTATGCCAAATACATTTTTTTTCACTGTTTGCATATAGCATATAGAAATTTGAAAATAATATATATATTATTTGCACAGATATACATCATATATTAAACATCTATTGTTAGCTATGGTTTGCTTTTATTCGAAATTGTGCCACAATAAAATTAATTATGCTCTTCAAGGAAACATTTAATTTCTGCATGCAGTTAAGTTTACAAAATCAATGTTATTGACAATTTCTTGTAAATGTAACTTAATCTTGTTTCAATAGAAAGGTTTTTATGAAATTGTTTTTTTTTTTTTTTTCATTTTGTTTACACTACCATTTTGTGTTATGAAATTTGTACATGAATTTTTATGAACATTTTTACATGCATTTTATACAAGACATGCCAATTGCTGCTCATGTGACATATATCGCCCCAATTAATGAAGCACGCACGCTCAACGCATTGAACTGCCAATTTGTGCGCAACAAGTCCTTAGTGAGTTTAGTTTGTGGTTATGTTAATATTAATTAATTTATTTTTATTTATATATAAAAGTCCTTTATTTTAAGCATTGCTGGCGAACTTTTTGGTTCTTACCGCAAATGCTTGCGTTGCACATTTTGCTTTTGTTTCTTTGCATGTGTTGTGTGTGAGTGTGTGTTCATATGCTTGCATTTGCTAATAAATTACAAATGAAAAGCTACTAAAATGTGTACGGTTCAAAAATTGTTGCAGCAACAAGCTTAATAAATTGAAACGCCGTTTTTCACACACCTACGACTATAATTTAGCGCTGCCAGCAGCCTTGCTACGTTGACTCTTTTATGACAACGAGCACGTGGCAAGCGTGTGCTGCACTTGTGTATCTACCAGAGTGTTTAAATAACGACGCGCTGTTAAGAAATTAGTTTTTTTTTTTGTAAATACATAGTAAACTGTTTTTAATATTCAACTTATTTCACGTTATCTCTTGTGTTTTTTTTTCTCTTATACAAAATTTCAGCACTTTCTTGTATGTATTTCTTACGCCTTTTTGTTTTGTTTTTTTGTTTTTATGATTCAATTGTGTGTGTGTTCTCTTCGTATGATTTCATTCTTTGCTTTTATTTTTCACATATGTAGTTATAACCGTTAAACGCACTGTTGCATTTAAGAAAGTTTGTGTGCAACAAAAGTCTTAAACGAACGCTTTTCTTTTTATAAGCCTTTAATTTAATTTTCTTTTTATAAAACTTCAACTTTTTCAGTTTTTCTTAAAATATTTTTGCATGTGTGCCAATACACTTTTCCTTTTATTTTTTCGCGCGTGTTTAAATGTTTACAAATCGAATTTTATTTAGCACTTAGCTTAGCGATTTTGTTGCCTTTTTGATAGCGCTTATGTACGCCTCTTAAATCGAGCGCCATATATGTATAGCTTTTTGTTTGTTTGGCCTTATTTCCACTTTTCACGCTTACGAAACGTTTTTAGCTTTCAATATATTATAAAAATACGAGCTGCATAGCTAACGCAATGCTCCTTTTTTTTACTCTTTTTTACTCAACGAGATTCTTGTGTTTAATCTTACTGGTTTCTTTGCATTTACCGACCGTTTAAACTGTTATTTTTCAACACGATATACTTTTTTGCATTTTTCTTCTACTTTGTTGCACTCTAAAGTGTGTGTGTGTGTGTGGTTTTTGGAAAATTTAAAATCTAAATAAAATCGCGAAAAACACAGCATATCTTAAAACTAAGTTACACATTCAAATTATAATCAATTTCTGCTTTATGCTCTATAATGCTGCTACTTATTGCTATAAACTAATAAAACTGTGTGCCTTCTGCATGACGCTCCAACATATTTCTATTGAAATTCCGCCACACTTGTACAGCAAGCATTCATTTCATTGCTTTATTTAATATACAAAGCGCGCTTTACAATGCCACACCGTTTGCGGTGGGTGGACCAATGGGTCCCAGGCCGCTATTGACGGCAGTCACCACAGAGGTAGCGCTGCTGCTGTTGGTCGAGACGGTGCATGATGATGCTGCTGGCGATGTCTGGCCCACCGGTGTGACATTAATGCCATTCTCTTGTATCATTATGGGTGTGCCGACTGTGAGGCCGGTAGTCACGCTGCTTGTGGGCGTGGTAATGGTTAGGCCAGATGCTGTGCTGCAAGCCGATGTTGTTAAGGGTGCGATGCTGGTGGCGACGATCGACGAGCTTGCGGCTGTTGTTGTTATCGGATTGGCTGTCTTCATGAAATACTTTTCCAGCTTGGCATTAATATGCTTGCCATAGGTGTACTTGCGTAATGCGGCCATATGTGGGCGTATCTTATTCATAAGTTTCTTCAGTTGGGTCGGCTCCGAGACATCGATCATTTTCTGTACCACATAGTTGGCATACTGATCCTTCATCATGACGTGCAAAGCACTAGAGGGTGGGAAAACAAATGTTTTAGCTTTCGAAAATATGACATAAAAACAAACATATGAATGGTTTGTAAGAATTTCACAAATTAACTTTAACGTAGTGACAATATCATTACTGATTTGAAGCTGAATTTCGTATCTTACTTGTCATTGAATGTGCACACTTCATCGATAAGTCCGGTGCGCTCACCGCGTGTGGCATGCGTGACACACTTCTCCACAACATTTGAGGCGAATTTATGCTGCGACAATACCAAAACCTTTCCACGCACGCTGGCGATCAGTATTGATTTGTCCTCGGGTTTGCCGTGTTCTACAATGGAAAATACGCAAACATTATAAACCTTAAAAAAAAAAAAAGCTCTTAGCTGCAACACCATACTCACCCAGCACATGTTGTATAACATAGTTGCCATATTGATCCTGTATCAGCTGCTCGGTGTGCTCATGCAATTCATCGAGTATTGGCTGCGTCTGCTCGGCAGTACAATGCTCCAGTATGCGTTGTATGACACGACAGCCATATGGATGTGTGCTTAGTGTGTATATTTGACCTTTGAATGCATTTATGACGAACTGCAGCGCCGAGGGATCAACGCATTCGATACATTTTTGTACCACATGATTACCATTTTGGTCCTTGACACATTTCAAAACATTGCCATCCAATTCGCGCACAATCTCTTGCTGCTGCTCGGCGGAGATGCTCTCCAGCGCCTTTTGTATAACACGACAACCATACATTTGCAAAGCTAGTTGCAACACATGCCCCTTCACCTGCATACCCAAAGTGTTTTTCTGCTCCGGTGTGCCAAACTCGAAGAACTTCTGTATGACGTAGTTACCAAAAACGTCGGTCATCAAGCTAAAAGCCGAACCTAAGATCTCGCTGAAGACCAACTGTTTCTCTGCAGCGGTGGCGCGTTCCAATTTCTGTTGTATAAAGCGTGAACCATGCTGATCCTGTGAGAACTCGACAATGTGATTAGCCAAATCACGTAACTGCAAATTTGGATAGCGTTGATTACGGAAGTCTTCAAGGAGACGTGAACGTCCGGGTTGTAGTGGACCAGCTACTGCGGCAGCAGCGGCGGCGGCTGCAGCAGCAGCAGCTGCAGATGCACTTAGGCCAGCGGCAGTAGCAGCTGCATGACGTGTGGAAGCAGCGGCGGCGGCTGCAGCAGCAGCAGCTGCAGATGCACTTAGGCCAGCGGCAGTAGCAGCTGCATGACGTGTGGAAGCAGCGGCGGCGGCTGCAGCTGCGGCAGCAGCAGCACCACCCGGCATAGCCAGTTTTGAGAAGAGTGAACTACTTGAACTAAACATACTGCCAGCCGCAGCGGCGACTTGTTGTGCAACGGCGGATGGTGGTAGGCCAACAGCACCAACTGCCATTTGCTGGCGATATTTGCTTTCGGCGCCAGGTGCACGATTTGTAACAAGGCATGATTGCGGCGGTGGTGGTGTAATGGCCGTGCCAATCGGACTAGCCGAGGCGGTGGCGCCCAATGCACCATAACTGTTGGTCACAGCGGCGGGCCATTTGCCGCGTGCGGCGGCGGCAGCGGCGGCTGCAGCTGCAGCGGCTTGTAGTGTGCTGGTGCTGCTGCTGTTGTTGTAATCAACTGCCGATGGACTGAAGGCGGATGTATTGCGATCAAACGAATCGCGGCGACCGCTCAGCGAGTTGGTGTTCAAGGCGAGTCCTGCGTATATGAAAGAAAAGGAAGGAAATGAGGAAAACAATGAGCAAGTTTGTTGTATGTAAATAGTATTTTACAGTAAATATTAAGCTAACTTAGTGATTGGAAATCGTTTCAGTATTATAATAATTTAATTTACTATAATGGTTAGTCAATAATTTCGAAACATTTTTAATTTCCTTAATATCATAGCCGATGGCAAGGAGGACCTTCGGGAAAAAGGTGACTGGCGGTGAGGAAGAATTTTCTGCTAAAAATTACCTCTAATTGAAAAACGAAAGAAGTCTTTTTATATTCCATCAGTGTCTAGAACTAAGGTAACCATAACCCGCGTGGTATACTCATAACAGAAACTGCGGCTGCTATAACTACAGAATCCGGACGTGCCGACTAGATATGGTGGATGGTGTTAAACAGCAAAATCGGTCAAAGAAGATGGAGGCCAAAGATACATCCTCCAGAGCAATAAGGCGGCAGAGGATATTCTGAACGCGCGGTTCGGAAAGATGGCGTGGTGCCTTGGCCTCAAGAAGCACTACCCCGCGGACGGCAACAAAACAAGTTGGACAAGGGTGAAGTGGAAAAGGATCTCGGCATAGCAGAAATCATGGCGACTTCCCTTGTAATACAGGAGGTTTACCAAAGAACTCAGTCAGCATACTGATGGTCCAAAACCAAGAGCTGACTGCACACCAAAAGGAAACTCCACGCCTTTGATGAGCTTCTTCGTAACTTAGAGAAGGGCGGCTACAACGTGGCCTTAGTGCAGGAACCATGGATTGTATCGGGTAACGTGGCCGCTGGGCTAAAGGTTCAATACTACATAACATGCAACCCGAGCGTAATCAAAAAGGTAAAGGTAACAGCGATATTGATGAAGAAAAGTTTAAAATCCCATATTGACTCCAGTTATTCCACAGCTGACCAGACATTATTGGCAATAAAGTGTGTCAAGGATGAGTCTTTACTCATTGCATGCTGCTATATGACACACGAATGCGAGGCGCCAATGGTAAAGCCCCAAAGACTGGCGGCTACAGCAGCAGGAAGCAGACCTTCTGATGTTTGCACCCATCATTGAGATAAACCGTTTTTACCACTTAGACCACGCAACCTCCCATACTCTTTCTGACCTCGAATCGGCTGTAAATTATTTTTCCTTTTTTTCCGTCGTTTCGTCTTTCGTTTCTATGATTGCTGTTGCTTTCAAAAATGATGTATCTGCTTTATGTTGGTAGGAAATTATTTCAATATTAAAACTTGCAATGGCAATCAACGCTCAGCCAACCAGCATATTCCCATAAATTAAATCTCAAAGAACATACATACATACATATTTACATGCACAGATAAACTAGAATGTCAAACTATTAGACCGGAAAGCCGATAACTAATAATATATTTATTCGAAACGTTTTATTGTGTACTTCGGAGCGGATATTATTAGACATAAGTGGATAATTTATTATACACACATACATATTTAAGCGCTCACTGCGGTTTCTCTCATAGAATTGAGATGGAAATTTGGCTATATACATATAAAATATATTCATAATTCACGTTTATAAGTATGTAAAGCATTCACTCGTTTGTGGCAAATTCGCTGGCAGCTGCTCAGGCACATAGATATGTTTATATAACCAGCAGATTGTAGAAATATTGTACATATGCATAAAAGTTATTTGAATTCGCTTTATTAATTTATAAACTTATAAAATATTTATGCTGGACTTGTGATGAATAAGCTAAACATTAAAGAGCATGAAACTATAATAATGTGACATTTGAAATGGAAGGCTTATGTGTGTGTGTATGAATGATAGAGAATGTTAAGTAAAGGAAATAGTATTAAACACATTTACTTTCAAAACCAAGAATTTAAAAAGAAACTGCTGATAATAAGAAATTAGTTTTTGCATGCTTCAGTTTTTTTTATATATATTTCTATTTTT